CACAATTCACATGATATGAAGATTATTAAGCCACTGGGGAATGGAAATTCAACCATCAGAAATCGATGGCCAAGGGTGGGAGGATTTCACTGAAAAAGGGAAGAAAAATCGGGGTTTCCTGGGTGATCCCCAGTCGTCACCATGGTGGTTTCAATAGCCATGCTCTTAATGACTTGGATGATGACTGGGGTAGCCCTATTTTAGGACACCTCCATACCATCGTGATGATCAACTGAGCAGTGTTCAAAACCCAAAATGTCATGACATTGTACTGCTGGGTGAATAGGGATTTGCAGAACGGATGATGACGATCCGCAACATATTGGATAGTATGACTACAATCATCAACCACCAACCAAGGTTTTGTTTCACACTGCTCAAGTGAGCAATATGTGGTCACCAGCAGCTACCAGCAGAGTACTTCAACTGAGGCACCCCTCACCACGTCGCTAAAAAATTCCTCGGTGAATGCTCTTCAGGAGTTCGCCAAAGATGGGACAAAGGGCCCGGGGTTTTTTCCACGGCAACCCCAAACCCCCCAACCGACCTTGACTATTTGGGGTTTCTCAAACCCATTGTTGGGGGCGCCCCAATGGGGTTACCCTCAGGAACCCCGAGTAAATCATGACCTCTTGAGTTTCTGGTTCATCACAGTCAGGAACCAATCTCCAGCGATAGGGAACCTTCCATTTTCAGATTGAAAAGCCGTGACAAAAGTACGCTGGGCATGAAAGATTCCCTCGCAAAAACCCACAAAAAACACATGCTTCATGCCCTTGACCAATCGGCTGATGGAAAGTTGCGTCATGGAATCTTTCTTTGGTTTACATGTGGGCATCGCGCAAAATGATAGTGTATCATGGTGTATCTACCAACTTGGATATGCAGATTTTCAGAATTCCGTACAGTGATAACCCAGCCAAATAAAGGCTGCTTTTTTAAATAGGTTTTTTCTTTGGTTCCGAATCTTTGGAGTTGGGATTTTGAGTCCATCAATTCTGATCATCCCCATATGCAGGGTAGTATGACCCCTGTACTCATCAACCTGTAGTTATTTTCTTTGATGGTAAAAATTAAGAAACACCTATATAAATATATGCGTCAATCTTTATTCTCGCTGGTTGACACCCAGAACTAAATGAGGCTAGATACCTTCATCAATTTCCTATTATCTCCCATGACATCCACATATTTTGATACTTGGCGGTCCTCCCCAGTGAGTATAGAACCCCAGTCATGAGTGGATTACCCCTATTTCTCTCACTTTTTTTCGCATGGACATAGCCTACTTTACTAAGTGGCATGATCTGCTCCATTGCTTTTGGGGATGAACATCCGGTAAAACTCCGACGTTTTAGCCGATCATATCCAAGTAGCTGTGCCGTGCATGCGACGTCAAATGTCTTATTCAAGCTAAAGCCAAAAGCTGCAGCCGAGCGCAAACAGATTCGTCACGTGGGGATGTGAATGAATGTGGAAAACAACAGCAAACACGGGAAAAAAAAGGCAGAATGCCAAGCAAACAAAATGCAACTTTGACCATTTAATGCGGACATCTTAGTTTGACGCGGGAACCCCAATGTGGAAACAACAGCAGTTTAATCTCGACTACTCCAAAGCATCCTGCTAGGGTGATTGCTAAAGTCAGGTGGTGTTCATCAGTGGGGTGTGCCACCCGTATCTGGTTGATATGGGATGTAGGGGACCAACTACTTGCTTCAAGCGTGGCCAATCTTGATACCATCCAACCCCCCTTGGTTTTCAGCCGGTTCGGATGTATATATATATATATATGTATGTATACACACCCATAATATATGTATACAATGAAATATGTACATCAAACATCTATCTATCAATCTGTCTGTCTGTCTCCCTATCTATCTACCTTACCTATCTGTCTGTCTACCGATCTATCTATCTATCTGTCTGATTGCTTGTCGACCTATGAATCTATCTATCTATCTAAATTTTATAAATACTTGTCTATCTTCCTGTCATTTCCTGAAAAGAAAACCGGTGCAGCTGAAACCATCAACATTCAGTGAACAAGTACTGCAAGTACTGCTGTTCAGCAGTGAACAAAAAACACGGTTTTTACATGAAGTAAACCATCTATTTCTATGGGCCATCTATACCATGGCTATGTAACAAATAACCAGAGGGTATTAATGTCATAAAATCCACATTTTTGTTGCTTAAATCTCCATTGATCACAATAAATCCAATGGTTTCTATTGTTTCCCAATGGTTTCCCATGGTTTTCCCATGGTTTTCCTATTAAAAATGGTGATTTTCCGTAGTTATTTCTATGTTTACCAGGCCGGGTAATCCCAGGATCTACGTGAACTCCTCGGCCATGGCTTTTTTTGGCGAAACTCGACGTTTCGTTTCTGGTTGACTCTCCGAGACCAGGAAGATTGACCCAGCTGCGACACGTTTGGGTTCAGGCGGTGTCTGGAGATCAGTTGTGCTGTGAATAAACACCAAAAAACCTCATGGATATGCATGTAAAACCATGGATATGGATATGGATCAGTAGATTTTTCCATCAATAAGACCAAGGATCAGTAGCTTTTTGGATGGAAACATCTAAAAATTACCCAGTCATTCGGATGGAAAAATCCTGAAACATCCATGACTGGTTGGTGAATAACCATCTTGAAAAATATGAGTTCGTCAATGGGAAGGATGACATCCCATATATTGTGGAAAATAAAAGTCATGTTTGAAACCACTAACCAGCAAAGATCAGTAGCTTTTTGGTGAACATGTCTTTGTGGCTCGATTTTCTTGGTGGTCCGTGACATCCCTCGTAGCCCGTGCCGTGCCCGGTTAGCAGCCAATGGCCCCTGATGGTCTCTTACACAGCATCGAGGGCGTCGAAGCAACACGATGGATCGGAATCCCAAAAAATCTCAGAGGAACTCGACAGATCTTTTATAGGAACTCGATGGAACTGGAAAAATAATCACCATGGAATCCAATATATATATATATATCCATATAATATGGTTAATGAATAATAGTGGGTGAATAGTGGTTGATAATGGGATTAATATAGATATACCCTCTGGTAAACATTTACAGTTTGCGAACTTGAAAATGGCCCAGTCGAAATAGTGGATTTTCCCATTAAAACAGTGATTTTCCATAGTTATGTAAACGTTTACCCAGAGGGTATACTATTTATGATACCTCTTGGGTGTTGATTGGGGGGAAGCCTCTCTTCAACCACTGGATATTTGGGACATCTATGGTCTACGACAGCAAATGAAGCAGTCCATTTTCACCTACTATTCACACATCGGCTAGCCAATTGTTGATGCTAATTTCCTCATCTTCTCTGGGCAAATTTCCAATAATTCACTAACCTGAAATAAGGCCATTTTGGGATGAGGTCGCAGTGAGGTCGGTATAATTTGCCCCGATCTTTTATATCTTTGATGGTGAACCCATTCTTTTCGATGGCTCACCCCAGCATTTTTGAGTGAAACCTCCATTGGTGAACCCCCATTTCTACTTGTCAAAGAAAAAGGTTTCCCCAGATCAACACTGAACCAAATATCTGGTGATATATTCCATGATATCCGATATAATGTTAGTAAATCAATAATAGACCAGCCATATTTTGATGGTTTATGCCCATTTATGGTATAATTGAGGATCGTTTACTATAACGCCTGTTGCTTTATGAAAACATAAAACGCTAGTTGACTCCATTCAATCCTACGAAATCCTACGAAAAATCACCATTACTGGTTGGTGGTTTTTCGCCACCCCTCTGAAAAATATGAGTTAGTCAGTTGGGATGATGACATTCCCTATGGAAAAGTCATAATCCAGTCATGTTCCAGTCAGCACCAGTAATAGATCATCATTTCATAGCTGATGCAATCCCATGAAATCTCATTAAATCACCATGATTTCAAGCTTTCTTGCTTAACTTCCCCATGAAATCCCCATGAACATCGGTTGCATCCATCGAAATGTTGCGAGCCTCGCCGAGCTGAACAGCGGTGAAACATTCGTGGCGCGGAGATTTTTTCGTGGCGCGGTGAGTTCGGCACTTGAGGCAACAAATATGGAATTTGACCAGCAATAATGGATATAATATGGTTATAATATGGATATAGTAGGGATATAGTAGGGATATAATATGGTTATAATATGGTTGTAATATGGTTATAATATGGATATATAATGGGAAACATATGGACATATGATCCCCAATATAGTATATAGCTGGGTGAAATATAATAATTCACTCAGCTGATTTTGTGGCCGGCTATGTTGGGATGATTCCCTATATGTTCACCATCATTCCAGTGAAGGAGAACAGGGTTCGGTCGTTTTAATTTTGCCCAGAAATATGGGATTGGAGAACTTGATTATATGGGGGTTTCCATAAATGGGGATACCCAAAAATGGATCTGGGTAAATTATAATATTTCACTAACCTGAATTGTTCTGAATTGTTCAGCCATAAAAGGAGATGATTTCCCTTATTTTTCCCATGATTTCAGGGTTCGGTCACAGTGAGGTCGTGATGAAATTTACCCAAAAATGGATGGTTTATAAGGGCACATCTATAAAAGGATCCATGGAGTGGAAACACCTTCATATCTGGCAGGCAGCAGTACAATGCTGTGGCCTGAGATGACAGAAGAAACAGGTCCCTCTTTGTTGCTCAAGTTGCATCAACAAATTCATCTGGCTGGCTGACTTATCTTATTCTTGGGATCTTGGTAAGCTCTTAGACTCTGAAAGTAGCTCCTTGTCTCCCCATTGCATAGGGAATATGTATGCCCGTAGCTCTTTGGCCTCTTCCAACACCCGCCTAGTTGTAATACTTCATCAATATATCAATCCAAAATGACGCAAAGTCATTATAGTTCACCAACTAACCAAAATAAGTACTTGATTAAACTCAATTAGTAACTAATAACTAACCAAAACAGTACAACCGATTTTGGGATGGTTCCATTTTTTTTTAGTTTCTCGGTTTTCGGTTGGCCAGTGACCTCGTCATTGCACCTCGCTATGGCCGCTACCTCTTTCGCCGAGCGCCACGTTGGGCGTCAGAGATCGAGACTCACCGAATCGCGATCCTTGGCGCAGTCGCTGAGTCATGCAGTCGTCAAGATGAACCATGAAAATTACGCATCATTTATAGGCTGGTTGGTGGTATACCTACCCCTCTGAAAAATATGAAAGTCAGTTGGGATGATTATTCCAATATATGGAAAAATAATCCAAATGTTCCAAACCACCAACCAGTAGGTAAACATTTCCACTGCTTCTAGGTTAACATCCAAAAATGGGGATTTTACCAGCAACAAATAGGGATATAAGTGGCCATCAAGGGAATCAATTCAAAAAATGGGGACTCGCTCCAAATTGTGACCATCAAATACTGTCGAAACTTGTTGTTTAGCATTGCTATGGCTGCCCCAAATAGGTTCTTGAAATTGATTACTTTTTGTGGCCGTATGGGTTTGTTTGATGAACAACTGCGGTTTATCATCATTTCCCACAATTTTCAGACACGCCAAACACACAAAAAAACCAACTAAGATTCGTCAAAGTCCCATCAACTGGTTCTCATCACAATGGGCTAATTATGTGATATATTTAGCTGGTTTCATGGATATAATTGTGGTGATACCATAGTTTTGTGGTGGATAGAATGTGATACCCAGTTGATGATATCATATATATAATATAATAATATATATGTATATATATATATCAGCTATATATATATTATGTATATAATATAAAATATAATATATATATAATAGTTATATCATATCCATGAAATCCATTATATCCCAATGATCTCCCCATCATAGAGGTTGGCATTGACACACCATTTTGGCATAGCAATTTTTGCCTGTTACCCTCCGGTCATCTGGCAGTACTTCGATGGTTTTCCCAACATTCTTCCATTTCTAGATCCATCTGACTAAAGCTGACTTACTTCCATATTGGAAAAACCATTTAGCAATGGGAATTTAATAGAAATAGTGGTTTTTCCCATTGAAAATGGTGATTTTCCATAGTTATGTCATGGGAATTTCATTGGGGGAATTGAAAAACTCATAATTCCTGTGCTTTTTCCAATGATTTCCCCCATTTCTTCCTGTGAAATCCCATATTTTTGGTCAACCCTTGAGCGGTACCCAGCGTCCTGATCCACTTTGGAAGTCATGCCAATGACATCCCCGTTCCTCAGTGGTGCCGGCGCAGAGCCGACGTCCGGTGACCGTTGGGAATGTTGGGATATCACGGGATATATAGTGGGTATCAGCAATGGATATCTAATGGATAGCTATTTTGATTTAACCAATGAACATGAGAATTGAATAGATATCATTTTCATTTTCCAGGATATCAATAGATATTCCATTGAATAGCTATCTATGTGATGGGGATTTTTTATTTGGGTATCATGGAATATAACTAACAATAACCGGGTTTTTTCCTTGTGATTTTCATAGGGATTTAATAAACCAAACTGGTGCTTCAGCATTGCCAGCTGGGAAGTTCCCAAAATTGGGAAAAACCATTATAAAAACCACTATAACTGGCGGATTTTCCATTGCGATGTTTGATTGGGCAGAAGATATCCGGCGGAAAACGTTGTTTATTTTTTTGATCCACGTTGAAGCAGAAGCGTTGCGGATTTCAATCTTTAGTTTCTATATGTTTCTACTTATTTCGGGATGTGGAATTCACTAGATATTTACCCTCTGGTTATGTCAAAATAGCTAGAAAATGACCATAGAAATAGTGGATTTTCCCATAAAACATGGTGATTTTCCATAGTTATGTTAGTTTACCAGATGGTAAGAATAATAATGGGTGAATATGGTGGTTGATAATGGGATTAATATGGAAATACCCTCTGGTAATGACTAACAGTTTGCTATTGAACATGGATCCAAACATATCAAATCTGATCACCCTCAGAATAACCCCCCAAATGGCGACAGCAACAGTGACCACAGGTGAGATTGCCGAACTCCGTATACAAGGGATGGACGCACACACACACACACACTGACGCACACAAATTCAAATGCATGTATGTAGTGCAATGTAGCGTAGTGGAGTATAAAGTAGGGTAGTGTATCTATCTGTCTATCTGTCTATCTGTCTATCTGTCTATCTACCAATCTATCTATCTATATCCATCTATCTATCCATCCATCTATCTATCCATCTATCCATCTATCTATCTCCCTATCTTTCTATCTATCTACCTATCTATCCATCCATCAATCTACCTATCTATCTACCTATCTATCTACCTACCTACCTAACTATCTATCCATCCGTCTATCTACCTATCTATCTACCTATGTACCCGTCTATCTATCTATCTATCTACCTATCCATCTAACTACCTATGTATGTATCTATGTACGTAGGTAAGTAGCTATTTTTATACAAATGCCAGCTCCCCACTCCGTATGGTTGGACCACCCACGTTGTGACCAAGTGGCGCTCGATCGTACCTGGATCCCAGTTTCATCAAGAATACAGACAACAGAGATTTTCCCTTGAAATCTAAGGATCGCCGAAAAACATATCTTCCAACACATTTTTGGCTTCGCCGTATGTATACAGAGAGAGCGATTGTATGATCTAACCCATGGCATCTGATGGGCATCGGCAATTTGGTTATTTTTGGTTATTTCACTGGTCACTGTTCACACACCACAATTTAATGTTCTACAATGACTACAGTACACTTTTTGTTCCGCAAAAACCATGGGGAATCCCAATGGTTGGCAGAACTTGATGGTTTACATGATCCATAGCTAAACTGCGCTCGCGCCTGTTGAAAAAGCTATTCAAAATCATATTTAAAGTCATATTTCATGCCCTGAAGCAAAAGAAACACCTTTGTGTGTTTTTTCCATTTTGCTGTGCCTGTCTGCTGAACTTCCGCATCATGAAGAGCGGCGGAAAGTGGTTCTTCACCCATGAGGCCATCAAAATAGAGAAACGAAGACATGTGACATGATAGTACCTATCCCCAAACGTTGTACCCTCCGGTAAACATACAAAAAGCTATTGAAAATCACCATTCTTAATAGGTAAACCATGTATAAATGGGCCATGGCTTCCATAGCTGTGTTAGTTTTACTGGAGGGTAACATCCATCCCAAGGGGTCTCATCATCATTTTTCCCATTAAAAGCGGCCATAAATGGGGTCGTACACCATTGTCAGACACATCCAAATACTATATCATGGTTATATATATCCAAGTATATCTTCATTATATCCCCATCATGGTTGGTTTAACCTCCAGTTTTGGGTAAATCCAAAACTAGGCATTTCGGCATTGAAATGAGGGTACCCACGGGTATCATCCATTATAGATTGGGATTTTCCCTTACAAACCATCCAGCTATCGGGGTACTCCCATGACTATGGAAACCTCCATGTCATAAACTTACCACCCATGTTCCTGGGAATGGTAAGTTTATACCACCTATAAAAAGGGTGAGTTATTGGGGGATGGTTTATGGTATTTATGGAAACCTCCATTTTTTGTTGGTGTCTGAACTGTCCCAGCCCTTTTATTTTGGGTGATCCATGGCATGGTGGCACATGATCAGCAGCTCGCAAACGCGGTCCACGTCCGACAACTCCAAACCATGATGGGCGCCGATAAGGAAGCCTTCCTGCGGCCGTTTCCAAAGCATGGATCATCCGCAACAATATCATCCCCTTGAAATGAACCACCCCAAAAATGGGTTCCAAAGATCTGTAAATTTCTCACTAGGACGCATAGTTTCTGGGTGTTTATTACTAGTGGGGATGGGATGTTCGGAACTAACTGTTCCCAACATCCAGTAATATAAACTGATATCTGTTCATATCCATTAATGTACATTAATTGGAATAGGAAGCATGATTTTCACACTTAAACTGATGGATATAAATTGGTATCACGGGATATTGATGGACATTACTGGGGATATAAGCAACACGGCTATCCCTAAAGTCTATTGTCATTATTTTCCGAACATGCCATGCCTCATTCTCAGACACAGCCATAGGAAGCTACGGGATACATATCCTGATGGAAATGACCTTGGGTTAATCTCCCACTGAAAATTATTTACCCTCTGGTAAACTAACAGTTTGCTATGGAGAATCACCCTTATATATATGTATAGATCAACTATAATTGGGCATTTTCCACTTCGCAAACTCAATTAGTCATAACCAGAGGCTTCGTTTCAGAGCTATAGATCCATATTTTTGGTGTTTTTTCTTAGGCTTTCGGAAGGTATTTTTGTGGATGGGATCGACCACCTAACCATCAGTGAAAATCATAATTAGATAATTACTATAGTTATGTTTTTTTTTTTTAAATAAATAAATTTAACTGGATTAACCATTATGATGGGATTATAATTATCAACCGTGATGAATCATGATTAGCCATTATTCTGTGTAAATTTAATCATAATTCCATCATCAATTATCATAAAACCCATCATCAATATGATAGGTGCAATATATCTGTGTAAATGATAATAATTCACTAACCTGAAATGTTGGGCCATTTTGGGATGATTCCTCTTATTAACCATGATTCCAGGGTTCGGGAGAACAGGGTTCGGTCGTGATGAAATTTACCCAGATTATCGAATAGTAAATCCAACTAAGCCTAAAACCACAACCCTCTGGTTATTTAACAGTTTGCCATGGTATAGATGGCCCATTTATAGATGATTCTCCCATTAAAACCACCATTTATGGTTGGGATTTTCCATGGCAAACTGTTAGTCATAACCAAAGGGTAACATTCCAGGTCTGTGGCAAATCTCCATTCCGATCTTGATACTAAATGTTACCATTTCCTTCCTGCAGTAATATCATTGGATTGGTTTAAGGGAAAATTTACCGGAAAGCCCAATATTTAATGGGAAAATCTATGGTTTCCGGTTAAGATTTTCCCTTAAACCAATCCAATGAGAATATCACATACCCAAGCGAAACCCGGGTTTTTGTTCCTGGAACTTTTCATTCTGCTTCCCTTGAGATGGGATTCACTGGACATGTATCCAAGTGGAATTTCCCATGTATATGATAAGTGAAATATCTAAAGTATTTTCATAATTTTCATATAATGGGGAAATATGACAATAATATGATTGTAATGATATTTCCACTATATGAAATTCCACTTAGATAAGTTAAATTATGTTTTCATTACAATCTAAAGTGACATATGGATATATGTCCCATCGTCAAAAGTTGGTCTGGCACATGGATTGTATATGGTTTATGACCATCCATCCCATATAGTTATTCCTTACAATGGTTTCAATGGTTGATTATATAAATTCTATGAACGTGGATTGATCTGGGCAAATTATAATATTTCAATAACCTGAATTAAGGCCATTTGGGGATGATTTCCCTTATCAACCATGATTCCACAGGGCTCGGTCGCAGTGAAGTCGTTATAATTTGTCCAGATTGATGACTTGGCACATGAATGCACCCCCCAAAACAGGAGATCTCCAGACCCATGGCCCATGGCCCGATCGCACCTTCATCACTTGATCTGCGCCGGGGAAGGCTTGCAAGTAGTGCCGGTACGCGGGGTGTCGAGTAATGTTGCCTGGTGAAGCTGGGACTGATCGACATGAAAGAAAAAGACACAGTACCATTTCCTATATATATATATTATATACACATATAATCAGTAAATATATACTATACATATATAGTTGTATACACACATATATAGGCCATATATGGCCTTTGATCATCACCTTGGTGCCTCGAACATCCAAATGGCTGGTAAATATCCATGGAAAATCACCAAATAGGTCAAGCCATCTATTTCTATGGGCCATCTATACCATGGCAAAGTGTTAGTCATAACCAGAGGGTATATAATTATGAATAGTGTAAACATGGCCGTAACCATGATTTATAGTGTGGTCCTTGTGAGGTCCCTCTCATCATTTGCCCGTTCTCTGCCAGCTGCCATGAATGGGGCGCCAAAAGTGTCAGGCATTGACTGAAAGACACCTGAATGGTGTATTGAAAAATTGGGGCTTGTATTTTACTAGGACTTTACTAGCAGGTTCTGACCTTTTAGGGGTTGTCACTATTGAATATTTTAATCGAATCCTGATTGGGTTGTATTTTACTAACAGGTTGTCACCTTTTACAGTCTACTCAGCCTTGTTCAGACACGATATTGATCCAGGATCGACGTAAGCAAGGATGACCTCTGTGCGAAAATACGATCTGGGCAGCAAATACAAAAGACATCCTGTCTATTTAGCTTTGCAATCCAGCAAACAAATGTGTATATATCTTCTGGATACACCTTGGCTAGAATTTCTCCCCAAGCTTCAAATCGGGAAGGACTTGAGAGCCGCCTGGACCCACACCTGTGAGGCAGTGAAGCGCTGTGAGGAGCCCAAAGTCTTGCTCATCGCTCTGGCCACAAACCAGACTCACGGCACAGCCAAAGGAACAAATGTGCTGACCGACGGTAGAGGTCTATGTTTTCTTTGGCCACCCCAGGCGCAGCTGCAAAGAAGTTCAGCCTCATCTAATGAGACATCAGCCGTCATTGTAGTGGCCATGTGCGACAACTGGTTATCAAGTGCTTGCTGTCGGGCTGCCTGCCATTTCGCAATTGTATATGAACGTGCCCAAAATCTAACACCGTTCAATAGCCACAGCTATCTATACTTTGTCAGTTGTATTTTTTTTCAAAAATAACTATCCATACTGTCCATACTCGTGATTAATCGTGCATCCAAATAAAACACCCATCCATCTTGCTCAGTATGCTCATTGTTGTCGTTGGTTAGGAGACGTTGTTGTTCGTTAGTTGATACTATTAAAAAAAATATTGCCAAAACATGAGTCATTTCCAAATGTTGCGCCGCATGTTCTTTTTTGTTATACAATATCTCCATGTACTTGCGAGAATCCGATCTGACCCCAGATACAATTATTTTGGTTCATCCAAGTTTCCAAGTCTTCTTGGCAAACTGCATTCTTTTTGTTTCTCCTCCCTCGTGCTTTCATCTCATATCCCGAAATCAAAAAGGGGCAAAAAAGGGGCAGTTTCTTTGGCTGACTTCATCTCAAGCGTTGTTGGTTGGATGACAATCTTTCCCGGAAAATATGCCGATCCTCATTGGTTGTTTCAAGCCATCTGACCACTAAAAAGGGCAAATCAGCATCCCAAAAATATGCCTGAACGTCCACCAATATTTGACACATGTTATGTTGACAGCAACCAAATCATGTTTGATTATATAGGTTTATTAAAAAAACACTTATGGAGAAAATCTGGTTGATGTTATACACAAATGATATAACATCGCATAACATCTCCATTATATACATCAAATTAGGTATATCCATGATATCTCCGATGTTAGACCATTGAATCCCCATTTTTCGTTGGATAAGATCTCCTTGAGTCTGCCATCCAGCCTGCGAAGAAGACGCGAATCTGCACCTCGTTGCCTCAGAAAAAACGGTGGTGGAGTGAACCGCGGGAGGTCAAAACATGAGAATCATGTCTATCTATCTATCTATCTATCTGTCTGCCTATCTGTCTATCTATCTATCCATCCATCCATCCTATCGATCCTATCGATCCTATCGAATCTATCGAATCTATCTACAGTAATATATATATATCTAATATATATATATATCTAATATATATCTAATATATATATCTAATATATATATATATCTAATCTATATCTAATCTATCTAATCTATCTAATCTATCTGTCAATCCATCCATCTATTTATCTATCCATCCATGTACTTATGAAAAGTGATATGTGTATATTTAATTATATTCATAGTCAAATAAACATTATATATTTCACCTATGTGCATTACAAATATATGTATGGACGTACTGATCACCATCTATCTATTAAAGGGGACTTGTTCCAAGTCAGAAACTCGACTGAACCCAGGGATTGGTTTTCTATCTGTCAAATATTGGCCATCGGCGGTAACTCTGCCTTTATCTGGTGGTTTCAACTACTCACTAAACATATTAATTAATGTGGCAAGCCTAGTAAGAAACCAAAACGAGAGATGTTTCTTTGCTCTATATTGGGTTTATCACGATTGATGAAGAGGATGAGAAAGAAAATATCTTTGACACCACATACTCGGCACCACGACACCGCCACACGTGCCAGGCAATCACCTGCGAGCTACGCTTACGTGGTTCACGTCAGGAATTGCAAGTGGATCATTATAACCCCAGTTTCAAGGTGCATAAGATGTTAGAAGTAGGGTTAAACTTCCATTGACTTCCGGGATTCCCTTTGTTTTGGCATTGCCGAGATGCTCTCCAAGTAGCGCAGCACGCCCTTGCGGTCATGGTACAACAAGGGCATGGCTAACCAATCCTCGGCTACGGGAAGAACTGGGGGATTCATCGTGAGGGTACTCTTCTGGCGAATGATGTGGATAATCTATGGATAATCTATCACTGGTTGGTGGAATACCCACCCCTCTGAAAATTATGAGTTCGTCAGTGGGATTATTCTTCCCAATATACGGAAAAACATGTTCCAAACCACCAAACAGATCAAAAACCTGTGGATTTTTTCTAAACTGCTAGACTAAGGGATTTTTGCCCTCCGAGAATCAATCGTGGCTAGCTGGATTTTCCATGTTTGATTTAGCCGGAGGGTTTTTGGAATAGGTGCTCCAGAAAAATGAGGAATTGGCTATGGCGAAAAAATCTATTGACCCACACCAATTGACTTGAATGGTTTGATGCTCAAATTGACTAGTTTTGTGGGTCCTTTGGTACTCTTTTTGAGCCACATCCATTTAAACAGTAAATAACGAAGATTGAACTGCAACAATGCGGAAGATCATCCACATATTCAAGATCATTCAAGATTTTTTTACTTGATTGAGAACTTCGTAACTGGAATAAAACGGACTAATGTGGGTAAAACAATAATAAACCATCCCCCAAATCACCATTCTTACAGGTGGTATGGTTACCATTCCCAATGGGCGGTTTATGACATTGCTTTACCCACATCAATAACCATCATCAATCATTATTATTGTTCATTATTATCCATTATTAACCATTATTCATCAATATTAACTATTATTGATCACTATTAGTCCATAGTAACCATTACCATTTTCCATTATTAACCAGTATTAACCATCATTATCTATTAACCATCACTATGAGTCCATATTAGACATGGAGGATTGAAGCACTAAACATCGGGGCTTTAACGCAGCAACGTCCTGGTTTCACGCCTTGCCAAGCGGCGAATTGATCTGCCTCGTGTGGGAGGACATAGCCTCAGTGACGAGCCGCCCAGTAAGTCATGGGATGTAACAATCGGTTTTAATGGGATTTAAAGGTGATTTAATGGGATTATAATAGAATTTTCATGGTAATCTAATGGGATATAATATGATATAATATGATATAATGAAATTAGAATTATATTAAACACCCCCATTCTGTGGTTCCAATTATGTGGAAATGCACTACTAAACCATGGTTTCGTTTAGGATGTGTTTAATGTTAGGGGGATGGGATTATTTCGGGTCTGGAAGCCTAACGATCCTAACCAACTTGCGGCGCGATTGCCGACCAGGCTTGAATCGGCGACACTACATTTTGGTTCATTTGCCAAGTGCCAAGTGTGATAGGCATTGTTGGTCCGAACATTCCTGGCAGTGCGAAAGCACGCCTGAGAAACAACAAATTGTTCCCAAGATCCAAAAAATCCTTTGAGGCGTCACGAAGCTTCTCGTAGCCTCATTGCGCTCACTCGACGGAAAAGATCAGCTTCACGATAGGCTTGTGCTTGGAACACTCCAAAGCCCCGTCTGCGAGTTTCTCTGTTCCCAATGATCCAAAAAGTGAAGAAACCTGATGAACCCTGTGCTTGCGCTTCGCTAGACATACCACTTGGCCTGCGATCACGCTTGCTTCAACGATCAAGATCCTACTGGCCTTCTCAATCCGCACAGGCTTCGTCAATTTCAGGGATGGGGATTTTAAGCATCAAGCATTGGGTCTTAGATTGAAACCAGATGAAGCCAGAAAATGTGGGAAAACTGCTTCCTGATACCATTTACTACTTGAATTCCCATCTACGTTAATTACATAATTGACCAAATGGGAATTTTAGAAATGGAATGATTTTTTGGAGAGAACATCTACAGGACAGATCCGGCACTAACACCATCTGAGGATTTTCCTGTAGATTTTCCCGCAAGCAAATTCTCCGATTTAAGCATCAAAGATGGGAAAATCATCGACCCAGTCTTTTGGTTTTATGTTAAATCTCAGGGATGTAAACATATTGTAATCATTACATAAACAAACATGGAATTTAAGCATCAAACATGGGGCTTGATATGGAACCCATATTAATGGATGTATGTGTTTGGATGTATCCACGAAAACTAGTCCACGCCATTCCACGCCTAGTCTTTGGGGTTGAATCAAAAATTCAGGGGTCTAGCCAGGTCGTAATCTTTAGAACGTTGAATCTTAAGCATCAAAGATTAGGTTTCACGTCACAATCACACAGGAATATTTCGCATCAAAGATCGGGGTTTTACCCATAACTCAATTAGTGATTTCATGAAGTGGAGGTGTTTTCTGACAATAGCCGATCCCTAGAAGAAAACTTGAAAATATCGTCCAAAGGTGGCTGATGTAACCAGCATGATTTACCTCCGATCATCAAATATGGCTAGCTGGAAACTCCCCAGTAAATTCAGGCTGAAGTGGGAAAATCATATATATATATATACATGTATATATATATATATACATATATATATATATATGTATATATACATATATATATATTGTATAAATAAGTATTTTACCTTTGATTCAGGGCGCCCTTCAGATCTGGAGTCATGTTCAGTTTCGTTGACAGATTTTTCACATGGTCACATCATGGAACCGACTTATTTTGGGGTGTCTGAAACTGCGCAAGCGCAAATAGAAAAACAGTAAACTAACCATTGCCATGTTTGGTATTTGCTTTTTAACTACGCTAGCCACGGTTTTGTATTACAAAAATCCACAAATGGAATACCCGGATTTGGTGTTTTTTTTCCCAGCTAGCCATGTTTGATGACACCGGAGGGTAAGTGGCAACAGATGCGCCATAAACCAACTGCCTAACTGCGCCATCCCAGGACCCACCAAATGACTGGCGGTCATGGTAAGAAATCATCCCATTTCTAGGCGTTTTTTCAACAATAAACCCAATATCCGGGAGAGTTTATTGGTGGGTTTACCAAGATATGGAAGGTTTATTGTTGGAATAACATTGGAAAGTTTATTGTTGGTGAAGGTTTATTCGTATATTTCACCTTACCAAGATATGGAATTTGGATTTTGTCTGAACAAAATCAAAGGTTTAGGCCAAGCTATGGCAAGCGAAGGGGGGAAGCGATGACAAGACATTGCGATGACAAGACATTGGAATCTAGGGCACCCCATTTTTGGACAAATCCACATAAGGATTTTACACAAAAAAACTTATTAATGCTACCATAAAATGAGATAAATTGAGGATGTAACCCAGCAAACATTGTGATTTTGAGTAGGATATTTGATATTTATCACACACACACGCACAATCTGGGATTTTGAAATTTAAATTAAGATTTCAACACTAATCATGTTATTTTTAACATTAACATTTCATTGTATCCCAAAATATTCCCTTGAATGACCACTAAATGACCATTATATCCAATTGAATCTTATGATTTTCTTTGCCCCAGTACAACTGCTACTTCTCCGTCGGCGTTTCACGAACATCTCCGTCCCTGGGCCCCACTGCGAGTCTGCGCTTTCCGCAGGTTCTCGCCTAAGGCAGCAGTTTTTGAACGGTACTGGTTAGCCCTGGTTAACACCAAAATTTAGGGTGAATTCATGTTCATCCCCAAATCATATATTATTCATATTGGGTGTTCCTAAAATCAGCATCAGCTGGTGTTCCCCAGTCGACTTCGGAATGGGAAGGATGACATCCATTCATATGAAATGGAAAATAAAACATGTTCCAAACCACCAACCAGTTGTATGTGTTAATCATCAGTTCTTTGGGCTACCCTGTTTTCAAACCAACCCAAACCACTGGATTTTGGAGACTTTCTCAGCAGACTCGAGTTGCAAAAGTCATGTCTTCGTTGTTTAAACCTTGGTTTTTTTTTGTGGGATTTTAATGGGACTTAATCAAACAAAATGGGACTTAATCAAACGAGACAAAATGTTGGTTGAAACACTTGACCAAAACCCATGGATTTTGGTGAAGCAAACCGCTGGATTTTAGCAGCAATTGTTGAAATTAACCAAACAAATTGGGACTGAATCAACACATGCGGGCCCTTTTTGCTACAAAACATGTGAATGTTCACAAAGACAAAATTGCATATTGTGCAAGAAATAGGCCACAAACATGGGGACTCACAACAACAATCGGGAAACTACAACCAATTGACTTGCCAATCTGGGAATTCTTGAAACTCCCCCACTATGAGGATTTGTTTAACCCATCTAAAAAGGAGAGGGCTTTCCAGTGCCATTCTTTTTCAGCAGGTGATTGATATCGGGATGGGCAAAGGGTAGAAGATGGTAGAAACCTGCACTCTTGGTGTCTTTCCTGAAGGCCCCTTTGTTTAAGAAGCAGAAACTTCACGACCGAAATATGGTGGTTTCCTAAGTCATGGGCGTAGCCCCAGTTCTTTGTTTGGGGGATTTTCCATTATAAACTATCCATTTCGGGGAGACGACATTTTGGAACCTCCCATATGGACAGATAAAAACTAAAGTTACTAAAGAAGGGACGCAAACCATAGCTGTTGGTCATCTTGAACTCTATGAGGAGCGGATAGGAGGAGAATCCCTACTGGTAGGATCCGTGGTTTCTGAGTTCTACCCTCTGGTGTATGTTTATTACCAGAGGGTATCCCAATTTCCACATCCTGAAGGAAGCTGCAACTGCGGCTTTGAAATTGATGCGACCATGAATTCACCTAGCTGACCGTTGAGTTCCCACGACACATGAAGTCACTAAGCTAAACAAATACAGTGGTTTTGCGTTGCTATCCCATTACAGGTCTTGTACCCTTTGGTTATTTAACAGTTTGCCATGGAACATCACCATTTTTTATGGGAAAAATCATCTATAAATGGGTCATTTTCCAGTTCGCTATGTTAAATAACCAGAGGGTAAGTTTTTTTTGTCGCTTTCCCATTGATTATTGATACCCATCCATACCGTGAATCTCACAATTTACTGAGTGTTTATTCCCCACATCACTGTGTGGGGTTCTGGTTTTTCGCTTGGATCCCGCCGGGGCTCCGCTCCTTCGCCTCCTCCGCCGCCTCCTCCTCACTCACTCACTCACTCACTGACTGACTGACTGACTGACTGACTGTCATTCACTCACTGTGCAGGCGCAGTGCACAGAGCCTCCTGGAGGAGCTGCGGCGCGCGTGGGCGCCACTGGGGCCGCGGCTGCCTTTCGCGTGGCAGGCGCAGTACACAGAGCCTCCTGGAGGAGCTGCGGCGCGCGTGGGCGCCGCTGGGGCCGCGGCTGCCTTTTGCGTGGCAGGCGCAGTACACAGAGCCTCCAGGAGGAGCTGCGGCGCGTGTGGGCGCTGCTGGGGCCGCGGCTGCCTTTTGATGGCTACACAGAGCCTCCTGGAGGAGCTGCGGCGTGTGTGGGCGCCGCTGGCCGCGGCTGCCTTGCGTGGCTGGCGCAGTACACAGAGCCTCCAGGAGGAGCTGCGGCGCGCGTGGGCGCCGCTGGCGCCGCGGCTGCCTTTTGCGGGGCAGGCGCAGTACACAGAGCCTCCTGGAGGAGCTGCGGCGCGCGTGGGCGCCGCTGGGGCCGCGGCTTCCTTTTGATGGCAGGCGCAGTACACAGAGCCTCCTGGAGGAGCTGCGGCGCGCGTGGGCACTCACTCACTCACTCACTCACTCCACTCCACCTCCAACTCCAACTCCAACTCCAACTCCCACTCCACTCCACTCCACTCCACTCACTCATCACTCACACACACACACTCTCTCACTCACTCACTCATTCACTCACTGTACAGATAGCTTCCTCGCTGCCTTTGGCGTACACAGAGCCTCCTGGAGGAGCTGCGGCGCGCGTGGGCGCCGCTGGGGCCGCGGCTGCCTTTTGCGTGGCAGGCACAGTACACAGAGCCTCCTGGAGGAGCTGCGGCGCGCGTGGGCGCCGCTGGGGCCGCGGCTGCCTTTTGCGTGGCAGGCGCAGTACACAGAGCCTCCTGGAGGAGCTGCGGCGTGTGTGGGCGCCGCTGGGGCCGCGGCTGCCTTTCGCGTGGCAGGCGCAGTACACAGAGCCTCCTGGAGGAGCTGCGGCCCGCGTGGGCGCCGCTGGGGCCGCGGCTGCCTTTTGCGTGGCAGGCGCAGTACACAGAGCCTCCTGGAGGAGCTGCGGCGCGCGTGGGCGCCGCTGGGGCCGCGGCTGCCTTTTGATGGCAGGCGCAGTACACAGAGCGTCCTGGAGGAGCTGCGGCGCGCGTGGGCGCCGCTGGCAGGCGCAGTACACAGAGCCTCCTGGCGGAGCTGCGGCACGCGTGGGCGCCGCTGGCCCGCGGCTGCCTTTTGCGTGGCAGGCGCAGTACACATCACAACACAACTCATCACAACTCATCACAACTTATCACATACCAACTCATCACAGCTCCACTTCTCACACCTCACTCATCACAGCTCCACTGCTCATCGCAACTCATCACAGCTCCACTTCTCACAGGTCCACTTCTCATCAAAACTCATCACAACTTATCACATCCCAACTCATCACAGCTCCACTTCTCACACCTCACTCATCACAGCTCCACTGCTCATCACAACTCATCACAGCTCCACTTCTCGCAGGTCCACTTCTCATCACAACTCATCACAACTTATCACATCCCAACTCATCACAGTTCCACTTCTCACACCTCACTTCTCACACCTCACTTATCACATCACAACTTCTCATCACAACTCATCACAACTTATCACATCCCAACTCATCACAGCTCCACTTCTCACACCACTTATCACATCAGAACTCATCACAGCTCCACTTCTCACACCTGACATCACAAGTCCACTTCTCACACCTCACTTCTCACACCTCCCCGAAGTTCACATTAAGCTTAGATACATGAAGGCTTGACATGTGGGGTTATCCGGTCCTTTTATTGGTTACTACAGGTCATATCCCATTCATGGTCATAGGTCAAAACCTTAGTTCTCCGGTGGCGATGGTCATCCCATATCCATGAACTACTGTGAATGGAAGACATCCTGCGCCAGTTGGGAAGTATTTGTAGCTACGAAACACTGTAGATCATGGAGTTGTAACGGGATGTTTACCATCTACCCTCTGGCAAACTAACACAAAACTATGGAAAATCACCATTTTTAATGGGCAAATCCACTATAAATGACCATTTTCAATAGCTATGTTAGTTTATCAAAGGGTACCAACTGGTGCAGGATTTCGCAACCATGCATTAGTCGTGTCCCTGCGAAGCCTTCGGATCATCGACAAGGCACAATATCTTGCGATGTTCCTCCTGCGAATCGCCTGCGGAGGAACCCAAAACCGCCTGGGAAAAAACGAGAAAATCCGATGGTTTTGATCCCCTCGGAATATGGTAACGTTTTGATCCCTAGATAACAATATTATGGATATAGCTGTTTGCTGGATGCTTCGAAATATTGGTTAGCTGTTTCAGGAGATTTGGGGATTAAAGCTAAGCCCGCAATGTTTGAGAATCACTCGACTTTTCAAAATGGCCATGGGATTGTTTGTTCGTAGGATGCTTCGTTTCCGAAGCTTGTTCATTTATTATATTTATTTCTCCATTCATGTTGCTTAAATCTCAATCAATGCCATTCATATCCACAAACAATAACCTGGTTGGTGGTTTCAACCCCTCTGAAACATATTAGTCAGTTCGGATGATTATTCCCAATATATGGAAAAATCACAAATGTTCCAAACCACCAATCAGAAAATAATCTCAAGGTTGAATCCCCCCATGAGTTTCTTGCTGATTTTCTTTATTTTTCTTGGTCAAATCACCATCAAAATCCACAGCGAACCGGCGGGAATTTTCACGTCGGCCTTGAAGCGCTCGAGTTTTTGCAACTGAGCCAAGCCGAAGGCTGCATTCATTTCGCAGGCCTTCATGTTCCAACCTGCCCCCGGGGCTGGCTGGTGGATATTTTTTTCCTCAAAACTTGTTTGCCCCAAGCCGGACCTTCAAACACCACTAATCTTCATAAGGGATCAAATCCGCCACCCCCTATGAACAAGATATTGAAAGAGATATTAACTTCAACTTCTCTTCATAAGGGATCAATTCCTCCACCCCCTATGAACAATATATTGAATGGGAAATGCCTATAAGGACATGCATGTAATGATATACATACATGTTTACCTACATAGACAAATGGAAATGCGCAACCCTTCCACAAAATAAGCAACTGGGGATGTAAGTTTTCTATAGTTTTGTAATATACGTATGTATATATATATATACACATATATCACAATAGTTATTGTTTCGCCCAAACTTGTTTCTTATTTTTTTCTTCTAAACATCTAACATCCCATGTGTTAGTTGATATTAGTTGTCCGGGGAGAATCGATTGTCTAAGTCTGGTTGGGGATTTGAGGTCTGACACCCCGTGAAATTCATTTTTAGGGCTTTTAACTATCAGTAATTGATGATGGTTGCAATTTGAATGGGGGGTTTAATCCCATTCATTTTTTTTGGGGAGAATCGCTGGTCGAAAATTGGCTGAACTAGATCACGTGTTTGCCAACATTTCAGATCCATGAATGACAAGCAATTCCTCCCAAGGATCCAGGACCATACTCTGTTCCAGCCAAGGGCACCATCCCAAACACATTGCCAATCTTAGATACCCTGCAAAAAATTAAATTCTTTGCTGGTTAGTAGATATTCCCATTAATACCAAAAGACTAGTTAGGATTAAAGTATCCATGTAAGATTGACCTAGAACACATCAACATTGGCCACGGGCACCATCTGCGCCGTGATGCCGAGATAGCATTGATCCTGACCCAAGTTGCGTCAAAAACGCCATGGATTGTCTTGGCTCAAAGAGCAACCGTTCCGACCGCCAGAGCCATGCTGTCATTGGATCTCTGTCGATCTCCTCCAAAAACCACGTCAAACGATAGGAATTCTTGGGCTGATGGTGGAAACGCGGCGAAAAAACAGGGTTTCCGATGTTTTTCGAGGTGGGCAAACCTAGGGCAAACCTGGGAGGTATCTGTCACCATCCACCAGGATCCCCAGCATGGCTTGCTTGGAACAAAACTTGGCTGTTGGATATGGCTGAATCATATCTCTGGGTAAATTTATGTAAATTTAATACTATTTCACTAACCTGAATAGTTCGGCCATTTGGGGATGATTTCCCGAAAATAAACCATGATTTCAGGGTTCGGGAGAACAGGGTTCGGTCGTGATGAAATTTACCCAGATATTTGAATTTCTTTGACGGGTTGTTGATCATTGTAACCGGAGATAAGTGCCATGGTCCATGGTTTTCGGATGGCCATCCACCCCATATTTGGAATCCTTGTAGTGCAATGTAAATCACTGTTTGATGATGACCCATCTCGGTAAATAACCAACTTTTGACCGCAGCACGCATGCAAATTCCCATGCAAATTCCCATGTGTCATCCTCATGCATATTCAACCAAACTCATTCAACGGTAGCCTTCAAATGATAGAGGGGCTTAATCCCATCCCGGTAGCACATTTTACACCCCTGCAACGGTCACCGTAGCACTAAACTTACACCCCATGGTCCCAGTCATATGTGGATTCATCCCCTACACCATGGTTTCTGTGGCTTCAAGATTAGGTGGAAGGGATTAAGAACCAACAACCACATTCAGGCCATCAGGGCTTCCTGGTGGCATTTCTCATCGTGGTTGGTTAAATCCCCACTAAAGGGATGATCCTCCAGGAAGGTCCCGACCCCGCCTATGCATCCATAGAGAAACTTGAAGTCATACTCGATGCCATCGACACTATGCCCGAAGCGCTCCGACATGTCCTACGGACACGGTGAGAGTTAAACTCCCGGAGGACCAAAAACCTGATAACGCAATATGTATATATAATAAGTATGTATATATATATATATACAATACCATCAGCAAGGAAAAATCTACATGTAATTTTTGACCTTGGGTGATCCACATAGACTCTGCCAATTCACTGTTCTCTGGACGTTTGAAAGGCAATGGGATCAATCCAGTATCACCATGACGTTGGAACACTTCGATTCACACATCTTCACACAAAGGGCTCTGAAAAAACGAAAGTTGTGGCTAAGATTCCTGAACTCTTGGAAATTCGGAAACTTATTCGAATCATCTTTAGCAAGGCGAGTGCTGGTTGTGGTTCACCCATCAGCTGGGACCATTGAAATCATACAGGTAACGCCATCCCCCCTATGCTGGTAGTCGTGGTGGAATCACCAAAAAAACGGTCCTCGGAATTGTTGCCAATGCGGCCCCAATCTCGAAACATCAGCGCTTTCCTGTCGAGAAGCTCGGCGAGAAGCTCGAACATTGGATCCACACATTGCTGGTTGGTGGTGCAATAACGGTTTATGGTGGTTATTATATGGTTTAATATGGGATAATGGTTGATCATATATGGTTATTATATGGTTTATGATGGTTAATAATAATCTGGTTGGTGGTTTCAACCATCTTAAAAAATATGAGTTCGTCGATGGGAAGGATGACATCCCATATATGTAATGGAAAATAAAATGTTTGAAACCACCAACCAGATCGGCATTTATCAGTGCAAATCCTTTCCAACATAGATGGTTTAATGCTGCTTCAAACCCGAAATGGGGCATCTGTGGCCTCTCTTGCGTCCAAAGTTTGATTTCCCATTGGGCTTTGTCTGAAAATAGGCTACTGGATTCATTGGTCATCCACATTGTTTCAATCATTGGTAAAACTTCATTATGTTCAATGGTGTTCAATCCGATAGATCTCCAAATTTACTGGTGCAACACCCATATACCCTCTGGTTATGTCAAAATAGCTATTGAAAATGGCCATAGAAATAGTTGATTTATCCATAAACAATGAAGATGTTCCATAGTTTTTTGTATGTTTACCAGAGGGTATAGCTTGCTGTAATTGTAACCCCATTTGATGGTACACCTACCATCTTTGGACAAACTGATGATGAACAAGGCACCAAAAAACCGGCTCCCTCGCCTCTTCAGCGCCTCGTCGTTAAACATCACCTGCGGTTTTGCGCCCAGAAATGGTGACTGGTTGAATCAGTTGAGTTTCTCCAACGGAGGGAAACTCAACAAACTCATCCCCATATAAAATGGCAACTTATGGCAACTTTCAAAGTTCATTGCCCCTTGATTTCGCGTTGAGGGAAACGTTGAAGTGTCCAACGACGGCGTTCCCCATTTTCGGGATGATCGATGGGAAGGTCAGTGAGGCTATACTTGACATCCACTTGTTTTGGTTGCTCCGTTCCCAATATCCCGATTTTCTCTGAAATTTTAATGTGTGCTTTCACAATGATCATTTGGGTTGCTTTACAATCTCATTTTTGGTGATCCATTATACAGTGCTACGTCGCTCCTTTCTGAAGGCTACTTGGGAGTGCAGTTCCATTTTTGAGTGGCTACATGGCTATATACCCATATTAAATCCATATTATACCCCAGTTATACAATATGGCTATTATATCCATCTTAAATCCATATATCATTTTTTTTAAAGTGGAGTCCATATCAAAAACCTCTCTTATATATGAGATATTCCCATATATATATATACCATACAGCTATATAGTGGCTATACAACCATATTGAACCATAATAAATCACCAGTGATATACCTGATTGGTGGTTTCAAACATGTTTTATTTTCCATGATATATGGGATAATCCATCCCATTGACTTTCATATTTTTCAAGATGGTTGAAACCACCAACCAGATTATTATTAACCATCATAAACCATATAATAACCATATATGATCAACCATTATCCCATATTAAACCATATTATCACCAGTGATATACAGATTATAAACCACCTGAGATGCCTTGGATGCAGATCCGGTTGGCATCTTGGGATCCCGGCGCAACCGCCTAAGCCGCCGGCGGTGATGATGTGAGAGGCCTCGGGCAACAACAACAACAACAACGGGATTGTTATGGTTATTGTATGGTTAATACATGGTTACTATATGGTTAATGATGGTTAACAATAATCTGGTTGGTGGTTGAGCCACCCCTCTGACAAATATGAAAGTCAATGGGAAGGGTTATCCATTCATATTATGGAAAATACAGAAGGGACTGTTATATAGAATCCAATATTGAAATCCCATATCATAGAATCCATATAACAATATTACAGATTTGAATATGGGATTTCGACAAAATATTGTAATAGAATTTATGATTGTATCAATTTACCATGTATTATTATATTTCTTAAGGATTCAGTGTGGAATTACAATGGAATTTCTAACCTGGGTGCACCACCAAGTACTGCAAAAAAAACATGTGAAACTCTCTGTAGCCCCCCCCGGCTCTAAAACATTAACCCAAAGCTGAGGGTACAACAACATGGGATAGCGCAAGTTCTGTTATTGTCTAATGTCATTGTCTAAACATTAAGTTAATAGTTCCAATACTTAGTGGTTGAACGTGAACTACCATGTTATAGTTTAATGTCTAATAATTCATGCTAATATAGGCCAATTAATCACCCAATGATATACAACTAGCAATGGGATGTGTTAGTTATGCGGCAACCACCCATGGATTGCAACAATTCTTCCCCCGGTGTCATCCCACACACGGGTACAACAAGTTAAAGCCTTGGTAAGCAACTATCTTAGCCTTGGTTAACGGTGATTAATAATAGTGGTTATGGTCAACCATTATGGGAATTTTAACCATCAACTGGTTGGTGGTTTCAGCCAACCTCTGAAAAATGATAGAGTTAAAGTCAGTTGGGATGATGGCATTCCCAACTGAATGGACAAAATAATCCAAATGTTCCAAACTACCAACCAATTAGTCACTTACTTGTCAATTCCCTTTCCCTTCCTATAACATAACTCCCCTGGAAACCCCAGTTTAAGATTTGGATCTATTCATTCTGGGGTCCCATATGCGGGATATTTGGGGGTTTCCATAAATGGGGGTATCCCTAAAATATCCCAAAATGGTTGGTTTATAACGGAAAATCCATGAACATCCTATTGACATGGATGATAACTAGGGGTATCCCCTCCATATGCGGGATATTTAAGGATGGATTCCCAAGCCTAGCCCAAGCTCCCAGAGCCCGGTTGGGGCGCACGTAAAATGAAATCACGGAGATGTCTGACTCGGCAGTGTATGTGATGGTGTCACAGGAATCCTGCAGGCAATGGCGTTTTGGGCAGTTTTACGACTCGTAGGGCAGTTTTTTTCCTTCCGGAGGTGTTTTGGGAAAACCCATGGTTTGGAGATGGTATCTGGAAGTAACATGGAAACTGCGGGTTGTATCGGAATTACCTTTACTATCGGGGTTGATCCATCCTGGTTATGATCATTTTCGCAAAGTGAAATGGGAAATCTCGACCCTGGGTCGCATCCTAGGGTGGATCATATGTCAGTGAATATCCTGATAAACTCACTGGTGAACACTGGGCATCTAAGGTAGAATGACAGATTACTTTTTCCAATACATGTGCCTCTTGATTCTTTTTGTAGTACTCCTGGGTTAGATCCCCCTGTTGGCTGTCTCCGCATTACTCTTGGTGGATCTCCTGCTATTGAGCTTTGAGGGTCTGGAATGAAAAGTCCCCTATCAGGGCCCCGCAGACCAACAAATTATTACAGCAATGTCATCCAGAATTCCTCTTCTCTAGAATTCCATAGCGAAAATGAAGATTGAGTGAGCCTGATTCTTCAACATTTCCCCGACCTCAACCTTCACCTGCAAAAAGCAATGCTATTGACTAGTCGGCCTACCCATACATTTTTCATGGTCAACTTTCATTTTTTGAGTTTATATATTTTGTGAGTGGGTCTATGGGTAGTCGAAATCCTGGAACACCATAAAATAGCTGGGACTTATGGATGTTCTCCCAAAGTTAGAAAAATTTGGTATTTGCGAGGTTTTGATCTATCCCCCATACCTGTATATTCTAATCATAGTCCCATTGTTTTCCATTGCTAATCCCATGTTTGTGGTTACAAGGTCATCATATCCCCATTCTATTCAGCATTATTTCTGACGAACCAACTCAAAAACGCCCAACCATTTAATCTTGGATTTTCATCAGGAATCCCCTTCAAAAAAGGTCAGTCATAAATTCCCATGATATCGTATGAAATTCCATTGAATCCCATTAACATCCATTCATATCCCATTAAAATCCATTCGTATCCCATTAAAATCCATTCAAATCCCATTAAAATCCATCCATATCCCATTAAAATCCATTCATATCCCATTAAAATCCATTCATATCCCACTAAAATCCATTCATATCCCATTTAATCATTTCATATCCCATTAAAATCCATTCATGTACCATTAAAATCCATTCATATCCCATTAAAATAAATTCATATCCCACTAAAATCCATTCATATCCCACTAAAATCCATTCATATCCCATGAAAATCCATTCATATCCCATTAAAATCCATTCATATCCCATTAAAATCCATTCATATCCCATTAAAATCCATTCATATCCCATTAAAATCGATTCATATCCCATTAAAATCCATTCATATCCCATTAAAATCCATTCATATCCCATTAAAATCCATTCATATCCCATTAAAATCCATTCATATCCCATGAAAATCCATTCATATCTAATGAAAATCCATTCATATCCCATTAAAATCCATTCATATCCCATGAAAATCCATTCATATCCCATGAAAATCCATTCATATCCCATGAAAATCCATTCATATCCCATGAAAATCCATTCATATCCCATGAAAATCCATTCATATCCCATGAAAATCCATTCATATCCCATGAAAATCCATTCATATCCCATTAAAATCCATTCATATCCCATTAAAATCCATTCATATCCCATTAAAATCCATTCATATCCCATTAAAATCCATTCATATCCCATTAAAATCCATTCATATCCCATGAAAATCCATTCATATCCCATGAAAATCCATTCATATCCCATGAAAATCCATTCATATCCCATGAAAATCCATTCATATCCCATGAAAATCCATTCATATCCCATGAAAATCCATTCATATCCCATGAAAATCCATTCATATCCCATGAAAATCCATTCATATCCCATTAAAATCCATTCATATCCCATGAAAATCCATTCATATCCCATGAAAATCCATTCATATCCCATGAAAATCCATTCATATCCCATGAAAATCCATTCATATCCCATGAAAATCCATTCATATCCCATGAAAATCCATTCATATCCCATGAAAATCCATTCATATCCCATTAAAATCCATTCATATCCCATGAAAATCCATTCATATCCCATGAAGAGCCAAATCCCTTCGGGCACTCTTCGTCTCAACCTGAAGCAATCGACATGGGCAGTAGCAACACATATGCAGGATGCAGGTTTACATAGCTGGGATTCGAAGGGCTCCCCCAGAAATAATCACATCCCAATAGATTCCTAGTTCTAGATTAACCAAAAGGGAGAAAACATATCTTGAGAGAATTCCGGCAATGAAGATGGAGATTTACAAGCAACCCAGAAGTTCGTGCAGCGTCACCGATGCTTGCACAATGAAGAACTGTGGAGCCAAACTGAACCAAGCAATCATATTTGCCTGCAGTTTGTCTTGCCCAGATACTGGTGATTCCGCTGGTTTGTTCAGGACGGTATGCCGTCGGTGACAATGTCCTCTGTACACCCGTTCCCGCATCTCTGGCAACGATGCCCACACGCTGGCACGGTGTTGGGATCGGAAGGGGAGTATTTGGTCTCGGCCCGTTCGGCTGTTCCGGACAGAACGCCATAAAGAGTGACACTGGCTCTGCCGGAGGTGGTGGAACTGCTGGGGCAGGGGCAGGTCCGGGTGATGTTGATCCTCCCGGATTTGCAGCCCCAGCAGGCCCAGTAGTTCCAGGGGCACTGACCGTTCCTGGTGTGAGAGGAGTTCCTGCATCTCCCACGGCATCTGGAGCTGCAGCATTCTGAGCTCGTTCCTCTAGGAGTCTCACCATCTCTCGAAGGTCACCTGGGCATGGGCAGGAGCTGGACCCCCGAGGCAGCCGGGCCATGAATCCGGCATGCACATGCACGGCATGCACATGCACATGCATTGAATTCTGCAGCAGCCTTGGGTGGGTTCATCTGCAAGTCGCACTCGTCGTCTAAGACGATTCTGTCATGAGTTTTTCTGGAGAAACGACGCATGCCATCAGGAAAGAACTGGAGGGGGCCAATCTTCAGCTCTAAGGGTGTTGCAAAAGAGGCTCTTTGCCCAGTCAGTTTTCCACCAGGCGCTCACTCCTCCCCCGAGTCCACTTCCCGCACCCGCCGTCGGCGGGCAGCGACCGCGTTCCGCACCGCGTTCGGATGCGAGCGAGCGCCGTCGGCTGGCAGCGAGCGAGTGAGCAGCCTGGTTGCTGGCTGCAAGCAAACTTAGGGTCTCAATTAGGAAACATGGGCCAGTTCTTAGAGGGTAGTTATTACAACATGGTTCTCATGTCATGGCTAGACATTTAGCACTACACCAGGATATTCTTGTCTACATTTTGGACATAGTGGGTATCTCAATCAACAGAGAGTAAGCTGACCACTCGGCCCTTTTTTCAAGCGCTGAATCATTTAAATCCAGAGGGTGGAGAGTTTTAAGGTAAACGAACTCGAATTTGCAGCATCCAATGGATTGTCTGAAAATAGGATCCCCCAAGTCCAATGGATTGCTATCACTATCCCAATTACCCTCTTGTAATGACTAACATAGCTATTGACAATTGCCATTTAGTTCGTGGATTTTCTCATTAAACATGGTGATTTTCCATAGTTATGTTAGTTTACCAGAGGGTAATATCGTCATTTGGATTTTGATATCCCAATGGATTACCAGTAGTACCGCACAAGGCGGTGGCGAAAGTTTCAAAAATAGGAAACCTATAGGAGAGGTTGGTTGTTGTGAATCACGGATGGCAGAGCGAATCCACTGATGGACCGACAGGTGGTTGGAGTGGTGCTTCATGGTGTGGTTGCAATGGTTGCAGTGGTCACCTGGTCGGTCACCTCACCCACAACTGCTGGATGTAGTGTGGTGTAGTGTAGCTGTAGTTGTAGTGTAGTGGGGTTGTAGTTGTGTTGTAGTGTAATTAGTGTAATGTAGTTGCAGTTGCATGTGTGGTGGTGTAATGAGTGTAGTGTAATGTAATGTAATGCAATGTGGGGTAGGCTAGTGTAGTGTAGTGTAATTGAGTGTAGTGTGGTGTGGTGTGGTGTAGTGTGGCGTAGTGTAGTGTAATGCAATTAGTGTAGTATAGTGTAGCGTAGTGTAGTGTAGTGTGTTGTGGTGTGTAGTGTAGTGAAGTGTAGTGCGGTGTAATGCAAGTAGTGTAGTGTAGTTGTAGTTGCAGTTGTAGTTGTAGTGTTATGTAATGTATTGTAGTTGTAGTTGTAGTTGTAGGTGTAGTGTAGTGTAGTGTCGCGTGGTGTAGCGTAGTGTAGTGTAATTGAGTGTGGTGTACTGTAGTGTAGTGGAGTGTAGTGTAGTGAGGTGTAGTGTACTGTAGTGTATTTAATGTCTTATGTAGTTGTAGTCGTAGTTAGTGTGATATAGTGTAATGTAGTGTAGTGTAGTGTAATGTCATTAGTGTAGTGTAATGTAATGTAGTTGCAGTTGCAGTTGTAGGTGTAGTGCAGTGTCATTCAATGTAGTGTAGTGTAGTGAAGTGTAGTGTAGTGTAAGTAGTGTAGTGTAATCAGTGTAGTGTAGTGTAGCGTAGTGTAAATGTAGTATTGTTGTAGTTGTAGTTGTAGTTGTAGCTGTAGTTGTAGTGTAATGTAGTGTAGTGGAATGTGGTGTAGCGTACTGTAATGTAATATTGTGTAGTGTAGCGAAATGTAATTGAATGTAGTGGAGTGTAGTGGAATGTAGTGTAGTGAAGTGTAGTGTACTTGAGTGCAGTGTAGTGGAGTGTAGTGTAGCGTAGTGGAATGTAGTGTAGTGTAGTTGTAGTTGTAGTGTAGTGGAGCGTAGTGTAATGTAGCGTAGTGTTGTGGAATGTAGTGTAGTGTAGTGTAATGTAGTGGAGTGTAGTGTAGTGTAATGTAGTGGAATGTAGTGTAGCGTAGTGTAATTGACTGTAATTGAGTGTAGTGTAGTGTAGTTTAGTGGAATGTAGTGAAGGTGTAGTTGTAGTTGTAGTG